ATTCACTAATGAATCATGCCCAGCAACAACCCAAAACTGGCAGCTATTCACTAATGAATCATGCCCAGCAACAACCCAAAACTGGCAGCTATTCACTAATGAATCATGCCCAGCAACAACCCAAAACTGGCAGCTATTCACTAATGAATCATGCCCAGCAACAATGTTCTTTAAACACACAAAACACAGCCTACATTTACAAAAACAGCAGTCGCTAAACGATCAAGATAACGACAACCCCAATTGTAAAAAACGAAAAATGGGCCAAACAAGAAAGCAATCAACAAGATCAAGATTTGATCATCGATAAGCTGCTGCAAAAAGATCTGAGTTACCAGATTACAACGTACAACAAGATTTTCAGTGTTACAAAACTAAAAAGTCGATTGCAGCCTTTTAAAATACAGAAAGCAACCGATGAGCATGAAAACCTAAAAACTAGCATGATCTACACATTACAATCTCCATTTTCGGAGGTTACAGATTTAAAAACATACGGCTAAACACTAACTCTAACGGCTAGCTACATGCTGCACAAATTACAATTTACAACTCGAGAATATGATACATCCTAACGATAACAGAAACAGATGGCTGAATACAACAAATCAGATGCTGATAATGACACTGATAAGGTGACAAAAATGGGATGATTTTACAAGATAATATAAAAACGATATACATGAAAATTTCTATTTTCTACTACAGATGAAGAAAAAAACGACAACAAAAAGCACTCATTTTTCGGTGCAGACACCAGCAGATATGGCAGTTGATGCAAAATTTAACTTAGCCAATAAGCCAATTTCATAGAATCCAAAGAAAGCAATGAATCAAGTCGGCTTCGTCCAGGTCAAAACACAAAGCCATTCTGTTCCCTGAATACGATTAAGCACCCGTGTTAAATATATATCTTAATCCACCAGCCAAACCACTCGTGTGTCGGGTTTTCAACTATACAACGATAGGCATGACTACTTGACTATTTTGACCAGACCCAGATCAGATTATCCGAGAATATCACATATACTTAAGAATCATGATAAAAAATGCAAATGTGGAACGCACAATGAGGGCAGGCAATACGTGTATTATCAAGAAATCTACACAGAAGTGTAACTAAGATGCAGTTAAGTTCTGTATAGATGAAGTTGTCTGTGTGGATTAAGCTGTCTGTATAGACCGGGAAGGCTAGCCTTTTCATAGATAGAAGAAATGTGTTTTTTAACTGGGAGGACAGGTTTGGAAAAACTTGGCTTTCTGCATAAAGCTCCTACCTAAAAGCTTACCGAATAAGCCACTTCCTATACCATCAAGCCACTACCAAACAGTCATGTATAACTGACAAAATAAGCTGCGAGTCCCATTAAGCTCATTAAGCCACTAACAAAGAGGCCCTTAAGTTTTGTCTAGATAAAGTTGTCTGTGTGGATTAATCTGTCTATATAGACCGGGAAGGCTTTTGTTGGGGAGAACTTTTTTATAGATGAAAGAAATGTGTTTTTTTAATTGGGAGTGACAGGTTTGGAAAAACTTGGCTTTCTGCATAAAGCTCTTACTGAATAAGCCACTTCCTATACCATTAAGCCACTACCAAACAGTCATGTATAACTAACTAAATAAGCTGCAAACCCCATTAAGCTGCTAACAAACAGTGCCTAAGTGTAAAGTTTAAAGGCTAATGTCATTCTAGTTAACAGACACCGAGAAAAAAAGGAGCCAATTTAGCATCATTTAATGAAACACGTTGCACATAAACAACATAAGAAATCCAGCACAAATAAAGGGCCGTTCTCTTTATAGCGAATTTCAACACCTCATCTACACTATGTGACATAATTAAAGACTCGGGTTAAAAAATAAACCTGGGTATGCTCTAAGAAGATATTCATGTTAAGTTTATCCAAAAGATAACATACAACTCAGCTATCGCAAATATAACAGAATTAAAAAAAACAACAGTTTGACTTTTCAAAGGTCACATGTCCTAAGTTTTTAAAGGGAGGACGATTAGTAACCCGATAAGGATTCGGTTAGCATCAGGGAGGTAGATGTCCAACCAAATAAAGAAATTCACACAAAAAGCTACAAATGTATTTCACCACAATAATTAAGCATTGCAGTCTGTAGGATAGATAATCTACGCCTTCTTCCAAATGTGTAGAACTTACTTGAATCCCGAAGAGCCGGTTCTGGATATGCGGGTGTCGGCTGAATAAAAAAACACACCGTTAAAATATGATATAACGACACAGCAACAAGTTGAAGGCTTTAAAGATCGTACAGGAAGAATTGGAAAACCGTTAATCCGATCGCATGCGCCTCCTCTTCCCGTAATCCGCGTCCCGAGACCGAGATCGATGATCCTCTTCCGGTGCGGCTCGTGATCGGCTCCGGGACCGGGTCGACGACTGTCCGCGGTCCCAGTCGTCTTCATAAGCCGTGTTCCGATCCTTCTGACGATGCTCCCGGTAACTATCCTTCTCGTCTTTGTACTTGTAGTCCTTATCGTGCCTCTCCCGATCCTGATCCCGATCACGGTCTCGATCCCGATCGTCACGGTGCCGTTTCTCGGAATTCCCGGACCATTCACGCTCGGAGCCTCGTTCCTTAACGGGATTCGACCGTGCTCCTTTCTCGTGGCTCGCCTCTCCGTACCCGTATTCCGAAGCACCGTCTTCGCCCCCGTAACTCGACTCTCTCGTCCTTTGCCCCCCGTGTTCTTCTCCTCCCCACCCACCCATGCTCGTGTCGCCCCACATTCCCGCCTGGGGTCCCTCCATCCCGCTCGTACCCATCATCCCCATACCACCGGCACCCATCCCACGGCCGAAGAACGCCGGGTTCACATGTGGGGCCACCCCAGCGAGCCCCATGGTGTTGACACCCGGAAACTGAGGCATCATACCGGGGAAACCGGAACCCGGAAATCCACCGTAACCTGCTCCACGACCCATATACGTCGGATCGAATCCTCCCCCCATCATACCTTGAGGATGCATGAACCCACCTGGTGGACCACCAAAAGCGGGCCCGCCGAGACCTTGCCCATAAGCTCCTCCTGCGGGACCGCTTCCAAACCCGGGTGTGTTCACATTCTTAGGCCCCATCGCCCCTCTACCTCTCATATGCCCACCGCCCCTGTTCAAAACCCCCTGCCCTCCTCGCCCCCAGTTACCTCCTCTCCCGAAGTTCCGCCCAGCATCTCCGCCGGCAAAATTTGTTCCGCCGCCTCTTCCCGCTCCATCATTCATCGGCCTCCGGCCTTGCGGTTCCGGCTGAGACTGCGCGGTTCCTTGATTCTTGTTCGCGTAAGACGCCCCCATCTGTCGTATAGTCTGCGGGGAAGCAAACGCCACCACACACGGTCGTCCGTTGAAAACGTAACCGTTCATCCCCTCCTTGCAGGCGGCGGCCGAGCCCGATTCGTAAAACTCGACTTGACAATACCCTTTTGATTTCCCGCTAGCTCGTTCGTCGAAAAACTTTATCTCTTTCACCCTCCCGTATTGCGACAACACGTTCTCGAGCTCGGCGTCCGTGGTCCACCAGTGTAGCTCCCCGACAAAAAGCGTTGTAGCACCGTTTTCCGCCGGTGGGCGGATTTGATTATCGTTGACAACAGGCCGCGTTATATTCACGTTAGCGTTAGCTCCCATCTGATTACCAGGCATTTGAGGAACACCTATGCTATGGCCCACATTCGAATTTAGCATCGGTGGGGGCTCGTTCGGGATGGTTCCCGACATACCAACGGGATCGACTGACGGTTTTTGGGGAACAGGAATCGATCCTCGAAAACCCATACTTGCAGTTTGGACGTCGTTACTCACTTGGGGAACCATTCTTTTTTGCATAAGATCGACAGTCATTCCCTCCTTGTTGTCGGGCAACCGCATGCCGCCACTCGGATAGACACCAGCACCGGCACTTTCAGCTGCAACACCGGGTATATTTATATCTTGTGACGGCGGCATGGCTTCGGATCGAGCTTCTGGAACGTTTACTTTCTGGTCATGGAACGTTCCGTTTCCGACGTTTGCAGAGGGTAGGGCCTCGGACCGCTGCATCTGGAGGAACCCTTCTCCAACGTTAACGTCGTTGTAGAGATCATCGTATTCGTCATCCTCGCCTCCGATCTCGTCGTCTGCAAGTGCGGGAATCGCTCCGTCCCCGTGATATTGCATCTTTTGAGACCCACCAAATTCCTCATCTCCGTAATCTAACTGCTCTTCGGCCATCAAGTCAACACACCGGTCAAGATGTCACAAGACAAACAACGATTCACTTTAGCCTGCATAGGTATAATAGACAACAATGATTAATAATGCATTTATGCATCTAATTAACATTGATTGATAGATGCACAACCACATAGATCTCATACCGATAACATCACAGCCCAAAGAATATCCAAATCTCTTCCTTAAAGTTCAATATCCTCATTTCAAACAACCAATATTATATAAATAATAATACTTGCTATAAACCATAATGTAGCTACCAAAAATATTTCATAAGATACCCAAATTCAAAGAATAGTTCTTTTTCAGCAAAATAGATGGAATGTTCATTGAACTTTCTAATCTTTCACTTACCTGTCTTAAAAAAAATTAGCAGCAATATATTATAAATCCGCACAATCGTGTACATTCTTTTAGTTGAATTAAGGTGGGAGTTTAGAAATCTAAATTCTCAAATGTCATTAAATGTTTAAAGTTTAAACGTTTGCAATTTAATGACTCGGCTTCGGAAAAAATTGAACTAGGATGTACAAGTTCACTTGTGTCATTGAGCCAAAGGCAACTTGATTACGATGATCTTGCTATATGTCACAGCAAACGTTACTCGTTAAAGTCCCTAAATCATGACGTTATTTTGTATTTGGACGGCGATTGGATGGAAATGATCTAATTGATACACTTGTGGAAGATGTTTGTGATCATTTTTTTTTTCAAATAAAGATCAGAAAGCAAAAATGCTCAGATATGGAAATAAAAGTGTCCATAGTCTAATGGATAGGACATAGGTCTTCCAAACCTTTGGCATAGGATCGAATCCTACTAGACACAAACTTTTCTAGATACTTATTTTTAGATTTCGATATCCAAAAGTAACTTTTGAATTATTTGAATCCAAAACGCTTGAGGACCCCTTTTTAGTATATCGAAAAACTATGCAAAAGGGTGATCAATTTGTTTAGGCTGCTTGTTCTTCAAGCATAAAACGTAGAAAATTTCTTTTGTTGAGGCATCCGAATGAAAAGAACCATGAAAGCTCAAATAACCACTTTTTTTTGCTATTTTTCCTTGTCTAGTGGAACAAAGAACTAATAAAACCCAACCTAACGCATACATATTTTAAAACACAGGTTGCAAGGTTACAGCCATGGGGTATGAGTGGATGATAAACTGATAGTGAATAACAAAGTTATGAGATCCTAAAAGATAATATACGTACAAGTTTATATACATGTGTTTGTACATATAAGAGTTCAAAACCTAAGCAATAAATAGAAGATATGTTACCTTTATAATCCATCCTTGAATCATAAAAGATAAACTATTAACTAGTCTCAAGCCTTATCCTTATTGAGCTTTCATTTTTACTTATTACCCCCATGCTAGCCCAGCTATTGAGCAAAAAGTATTTGTAGTTTTGCTCCACCTTCCTTTTTCCTTTAACTACTAGAAAACTTAGGTTTTACCTCAAAACTTTAGCCTTGGTTTCTAAACTTCTATTAATCCGTTAATCGTATGTTGTTTTCAGTAAAAGTTGCAGACAATTTCCCACCTTACCCCCCTGTATCACTGGTCAACATCTAACAATAAAAAGTCAATGAGATTTCAGAAATCTAATTGCCTAATTGTTGATGATCTATCCTTCAATCCACAAGAAATGACCTTCTTCCAATCTAAGCTCTCCAAATCTTAACTTCCTTTTGCTACAGACAATCAGAATGGAAATGATCTAACTGGTGTTAATTGTAGTAACCTAACACATAAATTAACCATCCTTCTCGTTGAGATATGAATACAAAAACCAAAAATAACCAGAAAATCGAAACGATCCATTCATCTATTCAAAATTCAACTAAATTACAAAAGTCAAAACCTAACACAAATTTCATAACAACGATAACATACAAAGAGATCTAACACAATAACCTACCTTTCTCATTACGATTTCCATCTACCTAACGAATCCATAACTAAAAAAAAATCAAAATCAAACACAAGAAGCCCTAATTACGCAGCTGAATCCATTAATTCACAACAAATTAAGCACAAATACGATGAAAACTAACCTAATCTCCGTAGCTTCACAAGTGAAATCAGCTACCTACCAAAACAAAACGAATTTCAATCAGATCGAAGCTGGATCGATTCGATGCAAAAATCAACAAGTAATTGAACAAATTAACATGAAAAAATGGCGATTAAAGAGACGATTGATTTATTGATTACCTTAAACGATGAGATGAGATCAGATTGAGATTAAAATCAGAAAATGGAAATCGATTGAGAGATTTTGTGTATTATATATATATATATATGTATATATATGTATCTATATATTCTACAGTGAGGGTGTTTGTTCTTGAGAGCAAAATCACGATCTTATCTTTCTACAGCTTTTGATTTTGAGAAATAAAATATAAAAATAAAAATATAAAATTGAATTTTAAATTTAATGGAAAAAACCGTATACCTAAATTTTGTTTATTTTGTTTTCCCCCTTTTCGTCTTACCCACCAATTTATTAATACCTAATTTTACTTACCTTCAAATAATACACATGTGCGTATTATTTTCTTATAAAAATAAGGCTATGTTTGGCAAGCGTAGCTTATAAGCTAGCTAGTAGCTGATAAGCTAGCGGATAGCTGATAAGCTTGTTAGTAGCTGATAAGCTTGCTAGTAGCTGATAAGCTAGCTGTTGAATAAAGTATGTTTGGCAAAAACTAGCTTATGAGTATGTAAAATGACCAAAAGGGTATATTTGAATTTAATAATTAATATTAATAAGGGTATAATTGGAAAAAGCTACAATAAGCTCCTCATAAGCTATTCAAAGTAGCGTTTCAAAAAGCTAGCTTATAAGCTAGCTTCCTGGTACATGTTTGGATGGACTAGCTTATAAGCTAGCTTATGCTTGCCAAACACAGCCTAAATATAATAAGCTCATGAGAAATTTAATAGTTTTTATAGAGATATATGTAAAAAAGAAAATTTGTTCATCGTATATAAGCATTGATGATATCTTCTAATTACAGATGAGTTGGTAAAAAAATAGGATGATTTTGTTTCAATACAAAACAAGTCTCGAGTTCAATCTAAGACCCTCATGTTAACTTTAGCCACTGAGTGAGTCAAAAAATATTAATTCACTTACATTAGTTTCGTTGAAAGCACGTTCCATGCGTTGCTGTTGGAATTGTTTGTAATCAAATTTTTTGTCCATATGTCTAAGGAACACTCGGGTAAGAACACACAAATAGCCCTTTATCTGAATAATATGTATTTATGTATACAACTAATCTATAATATGCACATGTTGCATTAAAACTAAAAATAATTTAATATATTTGTATGCACCAATGCATACCATTATCAAGGTATTACTCAGTACTCACTTTTTTTTTAACTCTTTTAAGGTTTTTCTCAAAACCTCCCACTATATATATGAGCTTCTATTTTCAAGATTGTTATGTTTTTTTTCTTTGAATATTACATTCATAAAAAGATAGTCATGAAAGGGAAAATCGATGATTATAAGGTACTTTTCTTTATGATAAAAATTGGTAGGTCAAATTTTTTCCAGTCTTTGGTATTTATATTTATGGTCAACCTTTTTTATTTTACTTGATTTATTTTATTTATACTTTCACCATCTTTTGATAAATCTATTTATAATAAATATTGTGCTTTGTGCATTTGATTATGGGTATTTGTATTACAAAATTAATAAAACAATGTATTTATAGAGTCTCTTTTTTTTGTTTATAGATAATGTATTTCTTGTTTGATTTTACTTGTAATGTGATTTCTATCATGTCTTTTCTATAGATCTCTCCAACCTATACATGATCTTCTATCATATTTTTGAAAAGAAATTATTTGGTAGCATTTAAAAAGTAATTAAAAGACCATCCTTTAAATGATTTTTTTCTATACTTACAAGTTACAAGAAGTACCTATACAAAACAATCATAAAAACTTATCTAAATCAAATTCTCTTGGATTAAAGAATCTCTTTCTAATACAAAACAATTAAAACCAACAAAATCAACCCAAAAAATTAACAAAAAGAAAAGTCAATTATACATACATTAATCCATCAATTCCATCAAACATGAAAACTAGTTTGAGTTAAAGACTATAAATCTTGAAACAATTTTGATGACACCTTCTATATGCTCAAATTCTGTCACCTTATAAGTTTTTGCATATAAAAATAAATGGTTCACTAACAAAACCAACCCTATTTGCTTCTTGATGAAAGAATACAATAGAATTCATCTTTTTTTCTTTTCCTTCTTACAAGAAATGAAAAACATCCATCATCAACATCTAGTGTACACCTCTTCTTTAACAAAGCTAACCTGCAAAATGTACACGATACGAATACGAACACGAACCCAACTCAATACATTCCTTTGAAAACAGGATTTGTTCGGCATATGCTTGCCCCGTATTCCTCATACTCTGCTTTCGTATGGCAAGCCTGTTCAACAAAAAACCAAACGTTATTATGAGCCCAGTATATCCCACAATGAGGTCAAGAAACTTCTCTAAAATAGAGAAAACTAGACTTCTAGGGGTCGTTTCTTTTTAAAAGTTACCTCTTAAAACCCCTTAAGTCTGGAAAATAAAAGGTTTGCAGACTTAAGACTAATTGTTTTATTTTTAAGAAAAGAGTCGAAAACTTCCTACCGTCCCCTGAAATTTTAAGAGGTGCACCATCCACCTCTTATGTTTTAGACGTGAATTTAGACTTCAGACTTCAGACCTTTAAAAAACAAACAACGCCTTATTCTCTAAATTGCTCCAACAGATTCTCTATATGGTTCTCTAAAATAGAAAAAACTAGAAAAATCTCCATGTTTAGAGAATTCTCTAAAACTTGATGTATGGAGAAAGAACATAGAGGGGATTACTTTTTTATTCATTTCCACCAATGAGGTATAATTCATCATGATTTATATAATTCTTTTTAAAAAGCGTATGGGATGATAAATTTACAGAATATTTTAATAATCGATGTTAAAATCTCTATTTAGAGATTTTGGCTCTTGTGTCCCTATTTTAAAGAAATTATAGTGAAGCTCTTGGAGATGCTCTGTTGACCATTTGTTACAAAATGCACAAAAGAATGAATAAGAACAAACTTGAAATGTTAATGGGATATAGTGGGTTTCGTTGGCAAGCGAAAGGATAAAAAGAATACCGTGAAAAATTCTGGTGTCGATGCGAGTACAGAGCCTCCAAACCATACGGCGTATCTCTGGATCGGATGGCTGACTACGTTGACTTCAACCGGTTGCGACTAGAACCAAAATTAACACCACCTTTCTCGTTAGTAATTGAGTAATGAACATAGGGGTGGGGAAAGCTCAAATGAGAATAGTAAATATTTTGAGGACCTGAGAACCAACTATTCATGCTTTATTCATGATGAATAATGTCATGATAGATATTCATGATGAATATGCATATAGAGGGAGGTTCAAGGGAAAACCTCAAAAACATAAACTAAGGAACACTCACTACCCTTTATCTCGACTGTATGCACTTGTGCATATAGTAAATCAGGTTGTTTTTTGTTTTTTATGCATGTGTGCATGTTAAAATTACTCTATGCACTAAGTGCATACGACCCAAATGAAGGGCTATGAGGGTGTTCCTCAGTTTTTCCCTTTTTTAAGGTTTTCCCTTGAACCTGGCCCTATGCATATATCATGATGAATATGCATATATCATGGATTATGCAAATGCATGATATTCATGATGAATAACATTCATATGATTAGTAACTGATAGTCACCATGATAATATATGAAATAAATGGT